TACAAACTTTAGGAAACCAACTCAAACTAATAATTTTAAGACACCCACTTCCTCTTTCTCATATCTCAGGCCATGGTCTTGGCTAGCCAAGAAAACTTGGTCTATGGCATTAAGCTTTCATCAGTCGGGCCAGGCCGGATTATCGGGTCGGATGTACTTTTTTAGTAGCCAAGCAGCCCAAGGGCCAACCATAGTGCGCATGAAAGAAGCTACATTCACTTGGCTAAATGTACACTACCGGGCATGAGGACGGTTTCGGAGATCCAAATCCGGCCGGCCCTATCTCAAGTGTAACGATTGTGGGTCGACGTTCCTTGAAGCCCAATGTGACAAGACCATTGAGGAATGGCTAGAGATGGACTTGTCTCACCAGAAGCTGCTTGCTTCAAACCAAGTCATTGGACTTGAACTATTCTTCTCCCCACTTGTTCTCTTCCAGGTAAAGTTTTACATACATAAAACTAAACTTAAGTTGATAACCCAAAAAAAGTCTCTCTCTCTCTCTCTCTCTCTCTCTCTCTCTCTCTCTCTCTCTCTCTCTCTCTCTCTCTCTCTCTCTCTCTCTCTCTCTCTCTCTCTTTATGTGCTTGTTTTGATTGAAGTACATGAAATGATATGATATATAGAGTTATTCTTGTTGCTATTTATAGCAAGCAGGATATATAGGGAAATGACCTCCAATGCCACCCATTTGCTAATTTTAACTAAAAATACCACTCCTTCCCAATTTTTTTACAACTAACACCTTTAAATATAAAATTATTGTTCACTTATTGTACTCATATCAGTTTTTCAGAAATTGGCTTCTCTCTCTCACTCTCTTCGCTCTATCTCTTCGGCCCGTCTCTCTCCCTGGTGTACCTCTCTCTCTTCGACGCAATGCTCGTTCTCCGTCAACAGTGGCTGTTCATCCAAGCGTAACTCCATCGTTGACATCCACGAGGTACTGTTCATAACCCTTTTCTTTGAAATTTGGGGTTTTTGTGAATTTGGTTTATGGTGTATGGATTTGTAAGAAATTGGTTTAGGGTTTTAGTGTTTAGGGGTTGCTCAGAAATTGGGTTTGGGTTTATGGGTTTCTATGAACTGGGTAATAACTCACACCCACTCTCACTTTGTAAGGAACTAGGTGGTACATAAGTATTTTCCATAATTAGCACACTAAGTTTGTTGGGTTCAGATGTTTAATTAGTAAACATAACCAAAGAGAGAAAAGAAAAAAAAAGTTGGAAAATAAATTGAAGGATAGATTTTGAAGGGCTAAGTCAGTTTGGTGCAATTGAAAATGTCATCATAGTTTTGCTAGCAAAATCTGGTTTTCATTCCCCCAAAAGCTAAGTTTTAAGCCTTCCTGGAAGAAGTGAAGCAGAGAAAGAAGGGGAGAAATAGATTCATCTATTGAGTGTTGTTTCTGCAACTTGGGTTTTGTTGATGGTTCTAATGGCAAAGCTAGTTTGCCATTCACATCTTCTTCTGCTCATCATAGTTTTCCTCTCTCTCCATCCTTCAAGCCAGCTACAACAACACACTCAGTCACAAACCCTTCTGAAGATCCAGTAGCTTCTCAACTACCCATCAACCTTAACCAGCTTCAGCCATAGAAGCAACATCAGAGACTTCTGCAAAATTGAACCAACTCCATCTTTGACTCTATCCTGTTATGAAGGCAACATAACCCAGCTGCACATTATTGGCAACAATGGGTTTCCTCCACTGCC